CAATTCTTCTTACGTGACATTACAATCTACTATCCTGTTATTCACTATCATTGCATGGGACTTCATGAATAATTTTATCATACATATATATATTATCACTTTATTAGTAAACAAAATGGTTAATATATCGGCATTCAATTTCTCCGGTAAATTCTTAGTTACAGTAGTATACTTGTGCACACATTTCACATTTCGAATTTTGTTGTCATTCCACATCAAATAACTCTACTTCTCATGGAATTAACTGTTTAGCATTGAGTTGTTTTACGACTTACTGTTTTTGATGAACATTTAGATTGATGAGCAGTTAGCTCACCAACAGAAGTTAAGTACCATTAACAATCATAATTAGGCAAAATGCTTAGAAAATTTATTTTTTCAAAATGATGAACCGACTAAAATAACTGTTCAGAAACGTACGACTCAAACCATCTAATGAAAATTTTTTATTATTCAAGGAGCTTAACCAATAAAATGGTAAGGGTGTTTTTGATGTTGGTTTGTAAGGGTGTTGTTGGTAAGGGTGTTATTTTGACAGTGACTATATAATTAGTCTGCATCACATAGGAAAAAGGCAGAACGCACTAATCACATGAGAGGTTTCTGGGAAAATAAGGAACAGAAATTTATGAATTTTATTACCCTCAACTCCACCCGGTAGAAAAGTTGTCAACATGCATAAAGAAACTCAAATCGCAGACCTATCATTTCACATCAAAAAATGTATATAGTATTTTACGTGTATCAAAAAGTAATTGCTCTTAACGACGATTTAAACATCGAGAATTCAGTGAGACCATCAAATGTCAAAAATGCTCAGTGAGGTTCCAATAAATGAGATATTTCTTTTGCTCCTAGAAGACGGATTCTCTTCCAAATGCAGTAGGAATAACATGACGACGAAACAATTGTCACAAATAAGGTTGTTTTTTTTCTAAAGATAGTTTCGCTAAAATTCATGTGACAAATAATCAAATTCTAAACGTCATACAGTTATGAATTACAAGCGATTATAAAAATGTTTTTATAATGAACCCCCTGTAAATAATTCTTTCTATAACTATACTTACCCTATGACCTGATGTTTACATTGACATGATAAGAATCTGAATACATTTCTACGTATAGAAATTTATTAATGACGCTAATGTATGATGCTCAGTGAATAGTTAACTGCGAAGCTGATAAATATCTCACCATTGATCGGACTTAAACTTGGTGGTAAAGACTTTTCAGTTGGACCACTTGAAACTGAAGTTTGAAGCAATGTTCACAAATTATAGATCATAAAAAAACAGTATTTTTGTGCATTTTAGTGATAATTAGTTAACTATTGTACTGTACAAAAGAAACAGAAATCCGATCAGCACGTTTCATTCCAATGATTTCTAATTCATAGAATCAACTTGAAGATGAATCAGTGTATTCTATCTAAATCAAGAAATAAAAAGTAAGTTCACTTTAAATAAACTGTAATTGTTAGGTCTGATTCACTCCAACTTCTGTGTTTTATATTATGTTTTATATTACTTATTATCTTTATTCAGCAAATAGTCTTATTCCTAGCAATTTCTACTCTTATGTGGTAACTCACGTTGGTCATATAATATTCTGAAATGTTTACACATACTTATAATAATCATTCATTCATTAATAATGACTTGACATCAATTATTGTAGTAGTTATTCGAAATTTTGTGCAGTCGTTCAACCCCGTTCAAAGTCAACAGTTTCCATCTTGCTTGCTCTTAGTTCGATTTTTCCTAGTTAGTTAACCGTTATCGAGTTTAAACACAACCGACTGTCTTCATATTTCGAACAAAAAGACGTTGTAAACACTGAAGACACCTCACAAGTTGTGGTTCGTAACTAAATTTTGTCTATTATTCACTAAATAATCACTATTTGAGACAAAACGATGTTTGTGAACTTCGATTTTTCACGTATCTCAATTGAGTGACATGGACGCTTCCATATGCTTTTGAAATGTAATATAACCACATTTTATGAACTGGAACTTGTGTTAAGATTTGATTATGTATTCAACGTATCAATCTAGTCGTTATGTAACACAGATCAAAATGCATTTTGTTGACAACATTATATAAACATATAGATTTTCATGTTCTCTAGAAAATTCATGACTATTTTGTGACTACATTTACAGAAGATCACATTGCCTATTGAGAATTCAATGAATATGAAAACTTGTAAGATGTCTGCTTGTTGCAGATTTTAATTCTCGACTGTGTGTTGTCAAAGTTCTAGCTTATTCAGGACTTTTACAAATACACAATCTACTTAGTCCTTACATAATTTTGACTAACGATTTATTCTCCACATAATTGTATTTTATTCAGGGCAATACTTATACTCAATAGAATTTCATCAATAAAGAGTCGATATTAACCATTCGTTAACACGGGTTATCAAAAGTCATGTCAGTGGGATTCACATATAACAAAGCGATTTGATGAGAGACAATAATGTAAGCTTTCTGTATGTGCTATTTGTTTACTGAAATCCGATTTATACTACATAATCTAGTTATATTGATAGTCTCGATCCGTGGTTATAGAGCTACTTTATGAGTAAGTTTCTGATTGTAAGAGTAAGGTGATTTAGACCAAACATACAGGTATGAGGTTTAACAGTGAGAAAGTTTTATATACTAAAATGTCTAATCCATCAGTTTTGTCGTAAGCCCTAATTTCCTAACGTGTTCCGGTCCTAAGATGTTGATTCTTAATATATTTTATTTTACTTTATCGTTCTGAAGTATTTCGTTGCCTAATATCGTCAATCTTTAATTATGAGCAATGTGTTATTTTCATTCTTCACTATTTGCTTCACAGTCCTTTATTTCTGTGATAGATTTTAGGTAACCTCTATGTGCATTCTCTTCTCAATGCATCTAATTTTATTTGCCATGCAATACATACTTGTTTTCACGTATTCTCCCAACGTACAACTAGGCATAGTCGCAAAATGAAAGTAAATTTCAAACATTCCATCAAGTTGACTTTCTTTAGTTTATCCAAAATAAGTTAGAAGATGCAAAAATAACAACGAATTCACAATCAACAAAATGGATACAGATTTCAAATAAACTAATAGACGAGTATCATTATTACTGTTTGAATGTTTAACTTAATTTTGGTTTGGTATGATCGTTATTTCTATAAGTTCAATATTTGTCTTGATCAAAGTACATGGCATATACACAAATATTAAATTAGTATTATTTTCATACACTTTATAAGATAATTGTTCTGGGATGAAACGAGTCTTCACTCCATGTGGATAATGAATCGACATTGGAACAAAAATTTCTGCAACTAACAATGTTGAGTTCACATTTGTACAATTCTTCTGTGTTGGTACAAAAGCATAATAAAACACACCTGAATCTACATCGAATCTCAGTTGGACAGGTTGACCGGCAGTTGATTGTGGATATGTACGACTGAACGATTTCAACTGCATGAGAGAGAAGAAATTACGAAGTGAAACAATGTACTGCAATAATGTGAAATGCATATGTAAGGTATTCAATTTGAAGACAGTGTAGATCATAACCTGATAACTTAATAACCAAAGGAAGTAAGGGAGATTTAGAGAGATATACTAGGATGAAATAGTTATTCATATATTTCTAAAGGAACCATGAATAACTAATTTAATCGTACCTGACATAAATGAATAACCAAACACTGATAACTAGCAAGTTATATGATAACTAACTCCGCCTGTAGCTCTTCTACAGTTACTGACGGTCCCAAGCCCGGGTAAAGGAGGAGGTTTGGGCATGGGGTTAGCGACCCTATCCCGTAGAAAAGCTAACTCGCTAAAGAAACGCTGATCAGCAAAAATAATTCAAACCATTTAAACTCTGCCCTCCGAGTTGAAGGAATAATTACGAGGTCTCATGATGAAAGCCGAAATTCTTCGGAAGTCACGAGACCGATGCACCTTCTAACAACCAGAGCAACACTCTTTATAGGTACATGGAACGTCCGGACAATGTGGGAGACAGGAAAGACCAGCCAAATAGCAATGGAATTTAGGAGATACAACATGGCAGTACTCGGAATCAGCGAAACCCATTGGACACAAACTGGACAACAAAGGCTAGGTACAGGAGAGATGCTGCTGTACTCCGGTCACGAAGGGGAAAATGCTCCACACACTCGGGGAGTTGCTCTAATGCTGTCCAAAAGAGCACGAAATGCACTTGTGGGATGGGAATTTCATGGATCCAGGATAATCAAAACATCATTCAGAACAAAGAAGGAGGGGATCACAATGAACGTTATCCAATGTTATGCACCCACCAATGATAGCAACGACGATGATAAAGATCAGTTCTATGAGAGGCTGCAATCAATTATAGAGAAGTGCTCACGAAAGGACCTCACCATCCTTATGGGAGATCTAAATGCTAAAGTTGGAGTGGACAACACAGGATATGAAGATGTAATTGGACGACATGGACTAGTAGAGAGAAATGAAAATGGCGAGGGACTTGCAAACCTATGTGCTTTCAACAAATTGGTTATAGGAGGCACAATATTCCCACACAAGTGCATACACAAAGCTATATGGATCTCACCGGACCAAATCACAGAGAACCAGATAGATCACATTTGTATCAACAATAAGTTCCGAAGATGAATGGAAGATGTGAGAATTCGGAGAGGAGCTGACATAGCTTCAGATCACTATCTGCCTGGTTGTGGCCAAGATGAGACTGAAGCTAAAGAAACACTGTACAACTGTACAAATAGCACTACAAAGGTTCAATACAGCCTTCCTTCGAGATACTGACAAGCTCCATGAATTCAAGATAACTCTCAACAACAGGTTCCAAGCTCTACAGGATCTACTGGGAAAACACGAAACTACTAAATACATACATACATACATACCACAATTCATCCAGTCTCCTTTTATTTTACATTGTTGAACTTTTCACTTGATTCTCATTCAACTCACTCATATTATCCTGTTTACAACAAAAATATTCGACTTCCAAATATGATTGAATTAAAAAGTAGTAGAGATTTTGATGAAATGATTGTTAAGGAAAAAACACTATGTATATTCCTTCGATGATTTTGATTTTGATTGCTTCCCTGAAGAGGTCCAGACAAGTTAGCTGGACGAAAAGTTGGAATTATTTATAGTTCAATCGCTATGACTATTTCAATTATAACATTTTTTCATATATAACGAATTCTTATTTCTTATGTTTAATTATTGATAAGACTTTTGTTATTGTAATTTCCTATTCTTACTACCATCAGTACACCTATCTTCCCACTATCAACTTGTAATTTTAACTATTATTAGGCTTGGTTACATATTCTATTTCATTATGATTATTATTGACTCAAATAGCCTTGTGATTGGTCTAACATTTTCATATAAACATTCATGTATATGTAGAGTAAAGCCTGATGACGATCTAATTGAAAACAATATTCTTCGCTTACAGATGTTGTACTAATTATACTGATGACACTGTTCAGAATGAAAATTATAAATTCCTTCACCGTACAGAACATAATGACTTCAATAAGAAATTTGACATAAATTCAAAAAAGATATTATCAATTACAAAACCTACGGAAATGTTTTTAACAATTAAGTTAGAAAATAATTCATATCCGTCCCAGTACGTCCATGATTCGAAGTTCCTGTCTGCTGCATTCAGCACAGCATTACATTCAACCGTATTTATTGAATCTGGATTACCATCAGGAAGACATAGACCGAATTCTGTTAAAAACCGTCCGCCACCAGTGGATTGAACTATACTTCTCACATTTTTGAATGTATAATTTAAGAGAAGCTAAACACAAGCAATAACAATATCAACATTGATAAGTATGTGAATGATTTCTGCAATGAAACTAGACTACAATAATCTGCATACACTGTGTCAAAGCAATAACACATCATCCATTTTGTTCATTGACCTATCATTCATTACATTTATGACTTAGTTATGAAAAATTGCAAAAAATCAACAGACGTTCAGTATTCTCCATCTTCAAATGATTATGATTATATTTATGTTCACAAGTACTTACATGATCGAGTGAGGAAAGGCACAAAAATTGAGTGATTTCGAATTCTGTGGTTTGATTACAAAGTAACTGGCTAGGAAATAAGATCACTCTACAACTCAAAAAATCAGTCATTTCTTAACAATCCATAAATAAAGATTCACACAACACCGAATAATCAGTTCAGTAAGATGGAAATGAACTAATACCAACAACTGGTATCTTGTCAAGCAATGACCATTATGTCTAACTGACTAAATATCACATTTACGAGAAATCCTCCATAAGCTTATATGATTCACCATATAAGTTTATTGACAATGTTCTCGCGTTCACAATTGTTGAACCTGAACAATATATATGTAACTGATGTTCATTTGTGAGGAGAACTCATTCAAACATTGTAAATCTTAGTTGATATGTTACGATATCAGTAAACTGTTAATCAGTTATGTGTATCACAAATGATGGAATGCATCACATCACTGAGTCAGAATACACGTATTCAATGAATCAACTCAAACGACTTACATTAGTGTGAATATTTTTTATTGTTGTGTATGATGTAAATGAATAGCGCCTATTACTAGTTGTCACATTTTGCATATCTAATCATAGTGTTTACATTTTCGTTCTTAGATGACTCTGCAGTACTTTATTGAGTTCAGTTCCGGTGTCGCGTTCACCCTAATCAGTTCATCATTTAATAAGGACACAATAAACATTCATCCATATCAGTTGTAACTATCATTTGTATTTTTAATGAAATATTCACGGTTTCAACTAACATTATACATTCTGTATATGCAGACCACAAATTGGAGCTGGAACTAAACAAATTAACTTGTTTGTCAATTTTGTTTGCATCAATGTTTTACAAGTTGGTGTGAATGACAGAATGGAATTGGACATCCTTTGTATCTGTCGATGCAACGATCAGATTAAAATTCCATTTGAATTCATAAACTATGGATTTTGTCAACAAACAACATATGTACATTTGTATGCAATATACTATGGTGTTTGTGAATAGGTTTCAATAGGTAAATGAGTTTAACGGAAACTACAAAACAAAGGTTTTTACTTTGAAAGTTGACATAAAATATATATTAATCCAATGCCTCTATTTCCACTTCCACTGTTAGTTTGACTATTTGACTATATCTTAAGAATACTTAGATGACAGAATTCATAATTATCATGGCTTTATAGAATTATTCGTCAGTGTTGCTTATTCATCTACGCCCAATTTCAGACACACTCATTGTTATAACGTTTGCCAGTTACGATGATTCATAGAACATAAATGTTACTAATTTATAGAAGGAATGTAGAAATTTCTCATCTTATTTGACTTGTTTTAATCAATTACAAAATACACTATGGTTCTAACAATTTTGCAAACTTAATCATCATATTGCTTACTGAGAGTATTTCCATGGCGAAAAAATAAATAATTAGCTAAATCGTAATTGACAAACATGAGCAAGTCAATGGGTGTTTTTTAATCAATTCCAAGTAAATCAATTCTAGGTAGTTAAATTTCAAGTTTGATATAAAGTAGGAAAATCAAAAGGCTGCAGCGAAAAATGGTAATCGTCGAATGTCAAACTACTAATCTGAAAAATCACTCGCTAAGACCTATTGAAGCTTCAGTTTTGATTTCGGGTAGTGTTGTAAGCACGCACTACTGTGTAGTTTTTAGTTGTTTGATTAGTGTGAGGACATGGTGTAAAATGTAAACAATATTTTATTATGTAAATACTTTCGGTCAGCGATCCTTCGACATTTAACTTATTGAATGTAGTTGTTCTGAATATAGATCGAATAATTTAATAAGGGTGACAAAGAATTTCAAAATTTTTCACTCAAGTCTGGTTATCAAGTTACGAACAAAAATCAAGTCAGTCAGCTTATGCTACAAAATATCAGTGGGTGAATGTTCTTATTAAAGCATCAAATATTCAAAATGCACATACACTACAAACAATAAACCAGGTATTAAAACTCTCACCTGATCACACGAATATCGTTTCCATGATGGCATATGCTCTGTAGCTGGTGTCGATTGCAATAGCCAACAGTAGTAATGATAAGATAATACACTCTTCTTTCTGGCCATCTCATCTTGTAATAGACCAGGAACACGTTGCATGCCAGTACCAGGTATTCCATTGACAAATGGAAAATATATTCCATAAGTTACACTTTCGTAAAATATCAATGTATCCTTGTCTGTTTGACGAATAACATTCACCAAATAGTCATAAAACAATAAAAGATTTTGACCTGCAATATCTGTGCGAATACAAAAAGAAAAAGACCAGAAATGTAAGAACCGAAATAGATTTTCAGAATGAAGACAATTGAAAGTTAACAACAATGATTTCCAATATCACAGTACATAAGTAAGCCAGTCAATGTTAAGCTGAAATGAACATATCTGTGATGGACAGAATATTTTCCGAAATCAAGATTGTGGTTGAGCGTGAATAGTCCTACTTACTTTACATCTAGGTAAATACTTATTTTGCAAGTATTCAGTCAATTATGTTTATGTTTAGAAGAAAGAAATTAGACGTACAATAAAGCAACAACTCACAGTAATTAACATTGATACAATTATTAGATCGGTATAATTTTAGCTCTCTCTAACTGAATGAAATTGTCAATTAAGATTAATTAATTTACTTAGGTATTACTCAATAGACAAAATCCACTTCATTTGTTCAACTACCACAGTAATCCATTTTCAAGATATAGGTCATTAATCAATCCAAAAAGCAGGTTTCAAGTGACTTTAAATTCAATGTAACCATGTAACAACCCTTTGACAACAAATGATTATCATAAAATGTGATATGACACTACACTAAATACAATGACGTTATCTCAACCCACGAAGCTATTTGTTGTTTTCATATAAAGTTAGTATAAAACCAGACGGTTTATTACTTAATCTATCAAACTATCATTCATTGTACAAAGGAAACATCTATTTAACTTTCTCTACATAAGATTTGAATCTACTACGTTGTGATGAATATAAATAAATAAAACAATTTCCATGTTTCATATATTCTGATCTCTTATTGAGGTAAGATGGTGGTTGGAGGTGGTCAACAGGGAACGTTGGACTCGGGTTTCGTGCTACTTGACACTCGTCAGCAAAGTGTACCTGTAATCTTGACCACCTCCAACCACCATCTTACCTCAATATACATAGTGCAAGCAGTGTCGAGCTACCTAGACTGGTGGCCACATTGCAACCTGATCGATAGCATTCGATCAGCACTAAGAAGGACTTGACAGGCATGACATTGATCGCCACTCAGTGATCAATCAATTGTGATTCTGATCTCTTGTTAAATTAAAGTAACGCTAGAAAGACAAGATATACTAAATAACATGGATTCATTATATTTCAAAGGTTCTCATCAGTTGGAAACGACTTGAATTTACATTATTACTCTAAAAATTCGTTTACACACAGTAATCAATGGAGTTTAGTTTGAACTAGGATAAGAAACAAGAAGGGGAAACAACTTCTTCAACATAATGGGTAAGATCACTTTAGATCTTTATGTTGAATATAAAGTCATGAAAATATAGAAGTGAAGTTATCAATCATCATAAATAGGTAATAAATAAACATAAATGGCTAATAAATAAGTAATAATCAAGGTATGTATTTCACACAGAATAAAAGTTAACGTCCCGAGTGAATGTCATTGGGAGTTTTCATTTATGCATTAAAGAGATAATGTAATTAACTAACGTTTAAATAATATAAGACAGCTATATTACAATGGAAATGAGAGGATTGACATTTTTTCCTTCTGCATGCGAAGGTTAAATTGAAAGCCGCAAGAAAGTAGATTGATGATAATTTATTAATATTAGTCAAATCTTACCACTGATGCCTAGAATTGCAATCGGTTAGTCTGTTTTGGAATATGTGCATACTGTGCAAATGGTCTTGACAAAGAGTGTATATAACAGGCTTGATAAGCAGAGATGAATGGAGGGTAGCAGTGTAATGTAAAGCGCTCATTTCTCTCTATTTTAGATGTAAATGTATCTGTATCAAAGAGTTAATGTTAAATAAACAAAAACAAACAACAAATCGTTCTGATCATTGTAAGTTCACCTTCTGATGTTAGTTGTCATCATGGTAATAGAAAATTTATGCTTGTCATCTACCTTCTAATATTCAGATATATGTTGTTCCATGTCGCCATATGTTGGTTCTGGACGAGCCAAGATAGAAACGATAAGATGTCGGTTTATTTGCTTCAAAAAAATATTTCATTGATAACCATGGATACGATTGGTAACATACTTCTAGAATCTGATTGCCATTAGAATTACTCAAATACAGTTAATTTCGCATGAAAAGTATGAGTTATGTGATAGCTGGTTATTATTGATCACAAGTTTAAATTTCATTTTGATTGAGGTTATGAATTGCCAAATGTTAGACAACCATTGAAAACCTTAAAGCACAGGAAGGCCATTTGGTCCAGAATTTTGAATTCTCAGCAGTGAGCATCAATGGTCCTGCAAGCCGGATGCGCACTGTTGAGGAATCACGTTTTAAGACAAAACAACTAAGGTTTTCAATGGCAGTTCAACATTGAACGGTTCAAGAACAAATTGACGTGAAACTCAAAACAAGATGATGTAAAATTGATCGTTTTATAGATTTGTATCAATTAGCAAATTTCTGTTATAACCAACGTAATCTCTGTTACAGTCGAAACCGCCATTGGAATAACCTAACAACAATGACTTTTTCGATCTTAGTCAATTAGGATGAGAGTTGAGTTTCTGTACCCATGTAACTTTCAAGCGAAATGATCAACATATTGGGAACAGTTCAGCATGTACTTTTTTATAAGCATCAAACACTCTTAAGTCGAACCAGCAGAAGTGAAACTGGGATTGGTGAATGAATCTACAATTAATTAAGAGTATTAACAGTATTTGGTCTTTCAGTTACGTAATAAACAACTGAATTCCCATTACACTAATGAAGTGAAGTTAGACACTAAACATTTGAAAGATAAAAATATTTATTCCATCAAATCATGCCTAAAGAACTTATTGGTATGTTAGCAAGTAACGTTCATACATTGGTCGTATGTGAAATGAATCTAATTTGTCACTTAGGTTAATGATGACAACATGAGACATAAATTGAATACTCGAGTTGAGCAAAAACACAAACCAATCGCCATATTTAAAAAGTGACTCGTTATCAGAATGATTGGAAAAAATATATCAATATTACTGGTTGATGTCTAGGTTTGTAGACATTTTACGAAATCGAATTACCGAAGCGTAGTTGGGCGTAACTCGCATTATTTTATTGCCCTATTTCATTGTGATAATGGTCATTCTAAGTAATAATTCCTAATGTAATAACACTTATTACTTGTAATGATGCTGGTTTTTGGCTGACAAGTGGTCTATTTGTGACTTCAAACTTGGAAGCTATTTGTATCCTGATAATTTGAGTGATTTATTTCTTATTACTTAACCATAGACCCCGATGATAGTAAAACCAGTGAGATCACATTATTCCTGCCAAGTAAGCTTTCAGAAAACAATATCACTTAAGTAAGTATCTGAATTTATCGAAACCGGTTCAGCTCCAGCTATTCACCTTTCTTTGTAGTTGGAAAAGCTTTTTCCTATTATTTTGTATTGTTTTCAAAGGTGAAGTTAATACCTACTTATAATTAAAAATAAAATGATTACAAACATTGAAAGGATGCTTGAACAACCAAATTACCGTCTTTGAAAATTCGATAATGGGATCATGGAAGAATGACAGTTTATCATAATGCTCATGGATTGCATGTTCGTGTCTGTGCAAGTTCCTTGGTGTGAATTACTGAGATGTTACAATATTAAACCGTTCAGTGATAGTTTTTTAGTTACTTGTGGAAATAATTTTCAGAAAATACACTGTTAGATACACGTTTGAATCAACTTTTTATATCTGATAAGGATATTGTAACTCAACGGCCACCATAAATGTTGAGTTTTTGGTATAGATACTATAATAGATACTATATTGTAATCCGAAAATAACTCAGTCACATCTCCTATTGAGTCAGGTTTCAATGTATTCTGGATTCGGTTAATAATCTATGATTTTTACTTCGATAAATGAACAAGCGAGATTTGCTTTAAACAAAACTAACTGGAATTCTGTTAGCGTAGACATATGTAAAAGTAATGAAAGAGAATTAGTCCAGACATAGATACAAAATGGAAACTCATTCTTGAACTATTGAACTCAGTAGTTTAATATTTACCGAACTCGGAGACTACAATGAAGTCCGAGTTAACTTTAATTCCTGTTTACGTGCTTCGAGTGTTTTCAATGTCATGATTTTCTAAGTCTTGGCAATCCTCAAACCACAATATGTTACTCAAATTCTTGATGAGATCAAAGAGAATGAAGAATCTTTATTTCTTGTGAACATTTAAAATTTGAATTCTTTATCCTAATGCTTCAAGCCTACAATATGAATTTCACTGACCGATGTGAGTCAAATGGTTACTTCAATTTAGTCTAAAGTTCAATCTTCGCGCTAATAATGTCATTCACTTGATTAATCTGGGCTGAATCATCAACACCTCCAAAAGTGATTCACGAGAATAATACTGAAGAGAAGAAAAAAGGAATTATGTAACAAAACCAAATCAATTATTAACTCTAAGAGTCAATATACACTTGCTCTGAATGTAGAGAAAACGGCTTACCATTTACTTCCAATTCTTCTTTAATTTATTTTGAAGGAATTTATTTTTTTAAAAACCATAATCACATTCCATCAATTTTAATGCTTATGACAGTTGCTGAATTTTTGTCTAATTACTAATATCCAGGTTAGAAATATGTTATCAATTATTGTTGTAAGTCAACGTTAGCTTTTCTGAATAAGGTTTCACCTCTTAGTTTACCTAGAACCTGAACTTAGGTGAGGAATTCATGAAAAACAAACTGTTGAAACATAGTTAATTCTAAAATGATCTATCTCAACAATATGTCAACAAATAGAGTGGATTGAAAATCATCTGAATGATTGATTGATTACTTTGAGTTACTCTCATTCCTTAAACTGAATCAAGAAAAGTGAGTGCAGATTCCTGAAGAATAATTCCTACTAGCACAAATAATATTCAATCATATTGACTGAATTGACCTTGATGTAAAAGAAATATGTAAACTATTTGAATGACATACCGACGTTCTAATGTAAACTCATTGTAGAGGTGATACGACATGAAGTTACCACATATTTCTGTATTAGTTTATCATAAAAACATGTGCACTTTTAAAAATGAAAATATGCGCACTGATGTCCACATTGACGTGACTTATTTTAATTAGAATTTAGAATGATAATTTAAGTGGACTGATAAAAGGTGGACAAGTAAAAACCTGGTTGATCTACAAAACAATAAGCATCCAACGAGTTGAATATCAACTGATTTGAATGAATTCATTGCAAGTAAAAACAAAATCTCCAGTCAAATCAAAAGACTCTAAATAATGAAGGAAGCATTATGATGAAAATGTTTAAAAGCAATAGTAGTAAACTCTTGTACACTTGTCACTTACTAGGCAAAAGAAGAAATGGATCTAAATAAAAATTTCCAGGTGGTGGTTCATTTATCAATTCATAGCCTAAAACGTTATATTTCTTCCCGAAACGATCAGTTGTTATCCTCCAATATTCTGCAAAATAATTCCATAATCCTGAAACATTTTTATATATACTTTCAAATGCATGTGCACTCTCATATGTGACGTAGGTTAAAAACCAGGCACTTTGACTTGGATCTTTCTTTAATGGCCAAGGGTATTGGAATAAATAGGGTGGTCGCTTTATTTTATCCATAAACCAATAAGGCACAGCATCAATTGCACCGAGACGTTTCGATAATCCATCTTGATGCAAGTCAATGATAATATAAACTCCATATAATCCAGCATTGTCGATAATTTTTTCAATAATATCTATATACTCTAGATTGGTCTCATTTTCATGTGGTTTTAATGCTATCCAGCTAAATCCTAAGCGTATAACATTGATTCCCCAATCTCGAAGTACTTTGAATGTATGAGGGTCAAGTAATTTTGGAATGTAAAATGGTGTGACTTTATGCACACAATTGATACCATGAAATAGTTTAATAAATCCATTTGAATCAACAAAGTAACCAGTATCATCGTCAATGGTCACTTTTCCACGAGCTTCTGAATATAAGACTTTTAATAATAATAATATCATTATCCATGATAAGCGTAAGAGTGTATTCACTGGAGTGTTCTTAGAATCTCCAAAACGTTCAAGTTGCTTTGAAGATCTTGTCAATCTCATTGAAATAAATAAAAATTTCTTTTAAATTCACAAGGACAATGTGTTTTGTTAGGGTTTAACAGCGAATAATTGTAAATGAGAAATATGTACTCAGTAATTTATTGCCAAGAGTTTTTTTATCAGTCAATAACTAAAATTTAAGTTTTTGTAAAACACGAATTGATAGTATTAGCTTATGGATTATGTACAAGTAATTTTATAATCACTGATGGGAGTGAATATAAATATGGTTTATATTAGATATTTGAGTTATGTGAGACGACTCAAAATAGTTACAGTTTATTATGAATCATTTATTAGAATGGTCTAATTGGTCTTATGTATATGTGTCACAGTAACCTTGTATGTTTCAGGGCTGTTTCCAAATAATTTATCAAGTTATCATTGGATTAAAATAATTTAAAAGTAATAGTTGGTTGATGATTCAATTTTCAGTAGTTGTTCTACATTTTACAAGTATTTTGAAGCTGAAAGTTGAAGCAATGTCTACAAATTATAGATCATATTCAATCGTTATTATTGAGCATCTAAGTGTTAATTGGTTAACTACTGTACTGTACAAAGGAAACAGAAATCCGATCAACACTTTTCATTCAAATGATTTTCAATTCACAGAAACAATTTGAAGGCGAATCAGTATATCCTTTGTAAATCAAGAAATTGAAAGGTACACTTACTGTTAAGTCTGTTTAACGTTCTCTGTCCTTATTCACTTCACTCCGTCTTGTGTGTATTGTTTTATATTACTTATCATTATTCAGCAAATAGTTTTATTCCTAGCAGTTTCTACTCTTATGTGGTAACGCACGTTGGTCATATAATATTCTGAAATGTTTACACATACTTATAATAATCATTCATTTTATTAATAATGACTTGACATCAATTATTGTAGTAGTTATTCGAAATTTTGTGCAGTCGTTTAACCCCCGTTCAAAGTCAACAGTTTCCGTATTGCTTGCTCTTAGTTCGATTTTTCCTAGTTAGTTAACCGTTATCGAGTTTAAACACAACCGACTGTCTTCATATTTCGAACAAAAAGACGTTGTTAACATTACAGACACCTCAAATATTGAGGTTTGCAACTAAATTTTGTCTATTATTCACTAAATAATCACTATTTGAGACAAAACGCTGTTTGTGATCTTCAATTTTGCACTTATCTCAATGTATTGACATGAACGCTTCCATATGCTTATCAGTTATTTTCATCTTACACCGTAGGTTAAAAGTGAAAATAGGTGGTTATTGTGTGCATCGCTATCTTCTTCCTGTTTGTATCAATCAAGTGCTTTTGAAATGAAATATAAGCACGTTTGATATTTCCATTGGAATAAGAAAATTTATGACTATTTTATGACCACATTACTTATTGAGAATTCAATGAATATGAAAATGAGTAAGATGTCGAATGTAAGGAATAATAAGGTATTGGAAAAGAAACCGTGTAGTGATAAAAACAACCTGAAATCGTCTAAATATGTTCAACTGCATTTTTATGATTCAAAGGATTTTTCATTTGAAATGTAAATTCAGAGAAAGTTTTCAATTCCTTTGGTTTCCTTGTGTCTACTAGAATTATTACTGAGATCATTTGATGAGAAATAATAAGAAACATGAGATGCTAGTTTCTATCTAATTCAATTCTACAATATAAAAGTATAGTCAACGCTTTTTCTTCTGACTAACAATAATATGTAAATCAGTTCATAATAATTAAAACTCAGATCTGTAGTTGAGCTATTTCATAAATGAACACAACAAAGTGAAAAGTATAAACAGATAATGTAAACGTGATTCTTGTGAGATCTGTATGTTACTCATGATCACTTCAACATTAAGCTCATGATCATTTCATTTTAAATTATGGATTGAGTCAAGTAGAATGAGATGTTGATCTATTAACATTTAAATGTCTTTCCCTTCTACTTCATCAGTTCAATTTCACTGACATCATTACAAAGACAACGTGAATCAGTAAGAAACATTGTCATAATTTAACTATTTTAATAATTGGAAATTATATATAAACCATTTTAGTTGAAGTCACAAGCACGTTGGATGTTTATATTCTGAGAAATGAACACTTACATTGAGGTTCCTCAACACAGCACCAATGAATTCAGTTAAAATGTGGTAACTATAAAGAAATGCTTCGTTTGCATTTCAACGAAACATCTAAATAAGTATCTTTCACTGTTGACACAGAAAGATTAGTTGTATAGGTTTTCTTCCGTATAAAACATGAATTTGTATCCTAATTCTCAACCAAAATGTACAGAACATGTTTGTAACAGATAGTTGTGTATAGCTCTACCTAAACGTAATAAAATCCTTAATGACCATAAAACTTCATTATTTGGCACTCAATCACCAAGTAAACACTAAAATGACAAAATAGGTGGCGGGAGGACTCAATAAATAATGAAAACTTCACTGATAGATTCAGTCTTAGTGAACTCATTGGTTACAAAGTGGCTGACACGGAAAAAAGATGATTCTACAAATCACAAAATCAGTCATTTCTTAACAATCCATAAATAAAGATTCACACAACACCGAATCATCAGTTCAGTAAGATGGAAATGAACTAATACCAACAAGTGGTATCTTGTCAATCAATGGCCATTATGTCTAACTGACTAAATATCACATTTACAGAAATCCTCCATAAGCTTATATGATCCACCATATAAGTTTATTGACAATGTTCTCGCGTTCACAATTGTTGAACCTGAACAATGTATATGTAACTGATGTTCATTTGTGAGGAGAACTCATTCGAACATTGTAATTGTTAGTTGATGTGTCACGATAACAGCAAACTGTTATTCGATTATGTGTATCACAAATGATGGAATGCATCACATCATTGAGTCAGAATACACGTATTCAATGAATCAACTCAAACGACTTACATTAGTATGACATTGACTGTTAATGTATTCATCGAATGATCACATCATGTCAGTTCATTCAATCATCAAGCATTAATATTATAAATTGATTAGTGACTATTACTAGTAATCACAGTTTGAATATCAAATCACACGGTTTAAATTTTCGTTCCGAGATTACTCTACAGTACTTTCATTAGGTTCAGTTTACTTTCTCATCTTATTTGACTTGTTTTAATCAATTACAAAATACACTATGGTTCTAACAATTTTCCAAACTTAATCATCATGTTGTTTACTGAGAGTATTTCCATGGATAAAAGATAAATAGACATCTAAATGGTAATTGATAAACATGAGCAAGTCAATGGGTGTTTTTCAATGAAGTAGAAGTAAATTAATTCTGAAGTATATTAGTGTTTTGATGTTGCTTTCATTATTGTTATTATCATTATCAATGCTAGTTTTGGTAGTGAATCTTTTGTCTGTGAATGGCTTGATTTCCATTAAGGATCAGCAACAGTGAATGTATTGCCTAAAACTAGAAATCAATAATCGAATCTTTTTTCTACAACGGAACCTATCAGGAGCAATCATCAACAATTATGACAGATGTTGGAGCACAAAATTCCAAATCTGAAGGTAAGAAATAAAAATTTAGACCTCTGAGATAAAATACAACTTATGAAATATTATCGTTTAGTTAATTTACAATGGCGCTCAATGATCGTGCAATGTCAAAGATGATCAATATGCCACCACTCATCTATTTGAACCCCAGTAGTAACGACTTCTCATTCGGATCTAACGACATTTCTTGGTGTGCTACGTGGTTTCACAAACAAAAATGTGTTGCAAGTACTTGTTTGAGTTCACTCAAATCTATTTACTTAGTCAACGTTTACATATCTAATCAGCGTATTGAAAGTGATCAACTATAAGAATGAAACATCTTAGATAATAACTTCATACGTCTGCACAGTTGAGAGATAATTTGGATTTGAAATTTCTGTCAACGACCAACAAACTTAAACCAACAGATAACTATTCTCATAAACATTGTGAAACCTTTCAGAATTACGACTGAACAAATGTTCATGGCCTATAGGATTCGAGTGGTCTATCAATCAATTTTAATATCTTGATCGAAATCAGTTGAAATAATTGGAAAGGCTTATGAATAAAAACGAGATAATCCAAATAAAATGTCAGCAGATTTAGTGTTTCATTATTTATAATATTTTAATGAGAAGTAGGAATTACTGAAGCTAAAGCCAATTTTCACATGGTTGGTGTTCGCAAAATTCTGCTTAACAGAAATATTGAAGGTTCTATGTTGTTTAACTCACATCCAATAAACAATGACGTTCTTACTATATGAAATTCATTCGGTAATTAAATTTTAGGCTTAATATAAAGTAGAGAAATCAAAAGACTACAGCTAAAATGTCAATCATCTAATGTCAAACTACTAATCTGAAAAATCACTCGCTAAGACCTATTAAAGCTCTAGGTTTGATTTCTAGTAATGTTGCAAACACGCACTACTGAATCGCATATAGTTGTCTGGTTAACGCAAGGATATGGTGTCAAATGTAAACAATATTTTATTACGAAAATACTGTGGGTCAGCGGTCCTTCGATCCTTAACTGAATGTAGTTGTGTTGAATATAGATCGAATAATTTAATAAGGGTGACAAAGAATTTCAAAATTTTTCACTCAAGTCTGGTTATCAAGTTACGAACAAAAATCAAGTCAGTCAGCTTATGCTACAAAATATCAGTGGGTGAATGCTGGTATTAAAGCATCAAATATTCAAAATGCACATACACTACAAACAATAAACCAGGTATTAAAACTCTCACCTGATCACACAAATATCGTTTCCATGATGGCATATGCTCTGTAGCTGGTGTCGATTGCAATAGCCAACAGTAATAATGATAAGATAATACACTCTTCTTTCTGGCCATCTCATCTTGTAATAGACCAGGAACACGTTGCATGCCAGTACCAGGTATTCCATTGACAAATGGAAAATATATTCCATAGGTTACACTCTCGTAAAATATCAATGTATCCTTGTCTGTTTGACGAATAA